GTAAATATTAGGATTACTTATTCATAAACAATTATTTATTTTATTTATGTATCCAGAATTTGGGTGAAAATAGGCGTTATATATCTTTAGGATGTGCGTATGTCTTTATTTATTTTTTTTTTTTTGAGAATATGTTATCCGTTTAAAGCTAGTGAATGTGTCGTCAACATCATTTTTTGTACCATAAGGAATGTCGGTAATTTATATTTCAATTGATCGTCCGTCCGTGATTTGTCCTCTCAATGATATATTTACTTGTCTGCCATTTATGTCTCACCGGACATGACCGATATTTCATGTGCGCTAATTTAAAAAAGAATAAGTTTCTAGAAAGGCCAGATAAATGTCAATCAATAGGTCTGCTCTTAACGAACATAAAAGTAAGAAAACCAGGACGATTTAACTTGTCTACATATATTTGGTTTACTTGTCTATTTTTATATGTATTTCTACTAATACAAAATGGATATAAAAAGAATCAATGAAATAACATGTTTGAGAAAGCTGCAATTCATTTCAATTTATTCTTTCAGAACTAAATTGATAAAGACCTCTGTAACCCTTTTAATCAAAGTAAGTGAATGAAACCAGCACGGATATATGCACTCTGCCATAAAGGCGGCAGGTCAAGAGCATTTCTTTGAGCGTTTTGACAAGTTATATTTCATAATTATGTGATAAGTAGAAGTAGAAGACTTTCACAAGTTAAACCATTCACATGAGTCTCTTTTGCTAACAGTTCATTTCCTGCTTAAAATTCCCGCCACAAAAAGAAGCCAAAAAACTGTTCTGTACGATCTTTTACCGTCTATCTTATCGCATTTTCCTATATTATATGCACGATTCCACTATTCAACATTGTTAAGATGCCTTTTTATTATGAATATTAAAAAGCTCCCTTCAGCTAGCTTTTAAATCAAATTTTTATTTATAATGATTTCCGAAACATCAATTTCCTTTTTTTTTCTTTTTCAACTTTAACATGTTGAATTTCAAAAATGGACTTCAACAGCTTCCATTTGTGGAAATTTCAATCATCAACGCTGGGGAAATCAAGATAGAACTTAAAAGGTAGTCAAGAAATATAATAGAGCAGTGTCAGACTACGCGCATGTGCAGACAAGTCTGCCGCAATCTTGGTGACAAAGGCTTTTCACTTGCACTTGCATCTATTAATTTTAATTGCAAATTAGTTCACACTGAAAGATAGACTGCTTTTTCACTGAGCTATATCTTATTATTATACTATTAGTTATAAAAGTCTCTGGATGCCCCCATTTATCTGATTTAGTCTATTTTAGTGTATACATATGCGGTTAACCTTTGCATCGTCGATATGCAAATACAAAATGACGATTCCTTTCGAGGATACAGGTAACGGATCATGTCAGAAAACTGTAAAAGTACATCAAGATCATATTCCATCGTCTCTTGACGTATTTTTTATGTATGGCATATAATTGTATGTAATGTGTGAGGCACATAAGATATTACATATTGTTGGCAATGGAGCTAAAATAAATATGTTTAAACTATATATTGGTAACCAGTTTTATCACTTTAATACTTATTCAATCCATGATCTATATACTTTAGTCATGTCTTTGATAACGAATATTAATATCGATTACAGCGTGCAAAATGCCATTCATAAGTTGTCTTATAGGTCATTAATATAAAATAATTTGTATCCATTGCAAAATCAATGTTTTCTTTTTTTGTTCGGCTGTTTCAATGTATAAAAATCTTGGAATTGCTTATTGATTTCTTATACAAATTGACCATTATATAACTACATGTATGTACTTTAATTAAAACGGTGAGAAAATATACAACTTGTCAATGAGGAAACCCCTATGCCGCAAATCCCAGCAAAAGTACGTGTTTCAGTTTTGAAAGGATAGTAGTTCAGTAGTGTAGTAGATGAGTGTTATGTATATTAGGCTTTATGAAAATGATACTTAAAGTTCTGTGGGAAGTATATTAAACATTTTGTAACACAATATATCTCAGCTGATACATTTTTATAGATTTTCATCTACTTTACCAGTTGTTTAATTTGCAATCTATTCCCTGGTGATTTTATGAAAACACCTTGAAGATCTTCACATGAAAACGGTTTCCAATTAAGTAAATTAAGAAAGAGTGTAATTGCTTAAATTATGATTAAAAATTAATCAACCCTCCTAAGATATATAGTTCTACTGCAAATATTTTATGTTGTAATTTATTAATTTATTTATGTAGTTGATGTCTGCATTATTCAGTCACACCCTTAAAATAATTTCAATGTTGCGACTTTCTCCAGACTTATCTTCCTCGTATATCAAATTATTATTTATATTTTTTTTCAACTTAGTTTATTCAGAGGTTCCAGTAATTATATTTAAACTATATATTTTAGTTCAAAATAAAAATAAATAAGATATTTATATTACAATAACTCTGCTACCACAATCATTATATACTCCATTGTTGTTTATACCCAATAACCTATCTGGAACCTCTTCAACCATCTAGCAATAAGAGGGTGAGATATATCCCAGAGATGGTTTTAAATTATATTGTTCTGACACCAAAGAAGAGAGCCTTGTCTTACTTCAAACAATAAAGCAAGACACACTTTAATGGATCTGTAAACTTTGTAATGTTCTTAGGCACAAGACAACCGTTCCGAATAAAATATGATGAAGATAATCTTAGTAATGTAAGAATTTATTTGCAATCCGTTAGTATCACATATGTTTTATTGTAGACTGAGTCTCTATATTTATGCAAATAACTTCCGGACCTAACAGTTTAAAATCTCTATATATATTTTTCTACTACATTTATATCTATCCTCTATCAATCCACTAGGGTATTAATTCTATTATTGAAATCATCTTTCTATAACCGTTTACCATCTCCTCCTTAATGGAAACATATAAGCAATATCACATAGGGATAAACAGTGGCTGCAATTCTGATGCCTCAACCCTTTTAAGCCAACCGCCTAGCCACAAGGGGAGTTCTTGAAATTGATAGAGCTGATAATACAATTATTTTTGAATATCAAACAACTTAATTTAATATTTGAGATTACAATTAACTGTAGGAATACATTTTTTGCAAATTATTTTTATTTAAATAATTATGATATCTTTATTTTCTGCTGGTTCTTCTTTAAACAAATAAGAAGAATTGTCATATTAAGACATAATGATATCGGGTAGCGTGACGTTACGGAGACAAAATTGCAAATTAAAAACTTGTAATATGCATTTAATATACTGGATTTATGTCTTGGTATATAAACGAAATCACGACAAAATTGCTGATTTAACATTAAACAAAAACAAACAAAAAAACTTGTATTATACATATTATATTCTGGATTTATATCTTGTTATTTTATTAAACAAAAACACGAAATCATATCTCAGTGCCAGTCTGTAAAAGATGTACATTTCAGGATTATTTATTCATAAACAATTATTTATTTTATTTTTATATCCAAACTTTGGGGGAAAATATTTGTAATATATCTTTAGGATGTACGTATGTCTTTTTTTTATATAATAAGTTATCTGTTTAAAGCTAGTGACACATAACATCAATTTTTGTACCATAAGGCATGTCGGTAATTTATAATTAAATCGATCTTACGTGATTTGTCCTCTCTGTGATATATTTATTTGTCTGCCATTTATGTCTCACCGGACATGACCGATATTTCATGTGCGCTAATTTAGGAAAAATAAGTTTCTAAAAAGGTCAAGATTATTTCCAGAGAAATGTCAATCAATAGGTCTGCTCTTAACGGGCATAAAAGTAAGAAAACCAGGACGACTAAACTTGTCTACATCTATTTGGTTTACTTTAAAAAATTTAATGTATTTCTACTAATACAAAATGGATATAAAAAGAATCAATGGAATAACATGTGTGGGAAAGCTGCAATTTATTTCAATATATTGATTCAGAACTATAATGAGAAAAACCCCTGTAACCCTTCTAATCAAAGTAAGTGAATGAAACCAGCACGGATATATGCACTCCTGCCATAAAGGCGACAGGTCAAGAGCATTTCTTTGAGCGTTTTGTCAAGTTATACATCATAATTATGTGATAAGTAGAAGACTCCACAAGTAAACACATTCATATTAGTCTCATTTGCTAACAGTTCATTTCCTGCTTAATATTTCCGCTACCAAAAATATGCCAAAAAAACTGTTCTGTACGATTTTTTACCGTCTATCTAATCGCATTTTCCTTTTATATATGCACGATTCCAACTATTCAACATTGTTTGGATGCCTTTTTATTATAATATTTAAAAGCTCCCTTCTGCTTACTTTTAAATCAAATTTTAATTTGATAATGATTTCCGAAACATCATTTTTGCTGCGAGGTATAAAGCAAAATATATTTCTAAAGATCAAATTTGAAACCTGGCTTGAACAAAAATTAATAAGAAGCATACATGTATGAAAAATTGAACAAAAATTAAGATAAAAGAGAAAAATGGCATAACTCTTTAGGTGTTTGCCTTTTGGATGTTAGGATCGAACCCTTATCTGTTTAATGAATTTCTATATATAATATAAGCAGGAAAAATAAGCACAAACGTTTAACCACAGTCGGGTAGTTCCATTAGGTTTAAATCGGTTTTGTTACAATATTAAATACGGAAACACATCGTCACTTAGTTGCAATAATTGGTTAACTCTCTTTAAATTTAGAAAGACTTAAAACCCGTTACTGCAATAAGGTGACGAAACAATGTAAGGTAAAATCGTTTCCTCTTGCTTCAGTCAATAATTAATTATTAGCAATGAATCCAGACACTAGTTTCTCTAGATTATTTAAAGTCCAATATATTAGATTACGGTGGGAAGCCATGTATTTTTTATCGAATCAGCGAAGCTGTTTTCTGTGGGATATTGTTTTTTATATGTGATCGATATGATAACCTCAGTGGAGTTATTCCCGTATGGTCTTAATCATTGTTTATTCATGAGGAAACCTGGAATGGTCATTGTCTCACAAAAATTTCTGAAGAGTATCAAAACAGTAACAGAATTCTTCTCTATAGTAATCGGATACTTCGTTTGTTTTCATTGTCAGGTTTAAAATACAAAACAAAACGGTAAGTATCATTTGAATAGGACATGAACGAGGCATACTGAATGATATAGTGGGACAGAGAGAAAGCTAGCTTCCAAATCGATTTCTGAACACACACTCTTAAGAAAAGCGAGTGAAGTGGTTTATTTGGTTACTGTTGGAAGAGTTTACGTCAACGGGATGTGCATAAGGAATAGATTTTTCGTGAGAATCGGTATTGTTATACATTTGGTTACTGCCTTATGTTAGATGCACTGTGAGAAGCGGATTATATCATATTGGTTTTTCTGCGTTAACTCTCGTAACAGGTTAAGCTTAGATAGATTCAGATGATATTATGCAGTATTGTAATACATTAATACTTTGAGAATCCTTCTGTATTATATAATATCTACATGAAAACGTATTTCATGTAGTAACCATGTAACGTTTACCATAAACAAAATGTGATACAATGATCAGGAATTACACTTGTCTTTGGCAAGCGACATATTTTAAATAAATTGAGCGGGAGATTTACAAAAATGTAGCATTCATATTTGGAAATATTTTGGAATGAATGTTAAAAATGGATTAATGACAGTTTAGTTATCCTGGAAAAATACATGAAAAGGAATGCAGTTTGTGCAATAGGCAATAATGGATGTATCAGTTTTGCTCAAATGGTTAAGACTGTGCAACCTATTTTTGATACTATGCTTACGGGACTCTTTTAGTATAGGCAATATGGTACGTATATTTTCAAAAGTACTCTATTATATGCTACTAATATTGTTGTTATGGGGTGCTTTAATATATTTGTTAATGACAACGATCCTGATTTTAACAAAAACGAATATGCTCAAATATTACCACAGTCATGTAGTTACATATAGATCATTTGCTTTTAAATATACCTTTGCTTTTTTACATTATATTTAAGATTAAGATTATTTAATAAGTTTTGTTTTAAATTTCACCTAACTCCTATTGCACAAATTTAATTATATGAGTGCAAAAGATAGTTATGTTGCTAAGGAAATGGCAAAGAGCCGGGTCAAATACAAATAATAATCCAATATTTTCAAGAACAAAAGTATGTTCTGGTACTACATTTATTATTTTGATCCTAAATTTAAAGCTAAACTAATAAATGCATAAATGTGGTTTTGTATGTGTAGAACTCGGCGATAAACCAAAACAAACAAACGAACTATAAACGATATTCACCTTATTTTCATAACAAGCGAACCACAAATTTGTGCTGTAAAGTTACATTTATTAGCATTCAAATGATATTTACACTTATTCTAGCCCTGTGATCACAAGAAAAAATATCGATTTTTTTTTATTTTTACCAAGCCATTGCTTTGTAAAACTTATATTGACAATTAAGTTTTTACAAATGTAAAAAAAGAAGAAAAATTCATATGTTTTATTGATTGGTGATTATTTATATTCACACTTTAAAGTATTGAGTTGTGAGAAGCATATTTCGAATACATTTCAATCTACCTTCAAAACTGTCTATTACCTATTCGTACTTGCTTGTTATAGACTATATTATTTCCCTGTCGTGCAAACTTTGCAGCAAATTCTTAACATACGTCACGAGTTCATGAGTATGTTGTTTTGTTTCCTCTTTTCTTTTTTGTTTTTGTTAGTTGTTTGTTTTAGTTTTTGCTCGTTCGCTAGTGGTTATCAACTGAGCATGTACAGGTTCATTTGTTACGTACATCCATACAAATTTATATTCGTTTACATGCTTTTGAAATGAACAAATACTAGTATTATACCATTCTTCAGATGTTTTATACCAATATATGCAAACAAATATAAAACAACATCTTCATAAATTATAAATATCAGGCTTTAGAACAATTGTCTCTACTTTTATATACCAAAAATAGCAGTACATATTCAATAAAGATGTCTAAAAAAACAGGGACGCGAGTTTACAGCTATTTCAAATAAAGTTTCAGTGTAAATGTCTCAAATGACGACTGCAAGTCGTTTTCAGAATTGATTTTAGTTACTTTATTACGAAATTTCGCGTGCGTTGTACACGTTAATCTTGTTGAATTGCGTGCCTATCTGCTATGAGCTGCTTTTGTTGTGAGACATCAAGATACATTTAAAATTGTCTCTAAACATTATTTAAGATGACAATCGCAACTCGATCGATTGCTCTTTGTTGCATTTTTTACAATAACAACTACATGTTTAAAAATGCTTGTCTGATTTTTATGCTAGACTCAACGCGTTAAGTGTCCATTTCACATACTAGAATCCCGGTGGCTACTCGCCGATGGCATTTTGCTTATAAAAAACCAATTACGACCAGCCGCACACTGTCATAATTAGCAGAAACGAATATCTTGTATTGTAAATATAACGTATATTAAGATTGGTGTTGAACAGTTTGATTATGTAATCTACGTGACAATTATATATTCAAATTCAAACATGTTCTAAAATAGAATGGACTTGCAGACTTTATCATTTTACCGGCGTTAAAAAACCTTGATGACTTGAAATAAGATAGATATATGTTCACAAGACATTGTGCATTTTGCGCGAATTGCTTGCGTGCTTTGGTGTTATAAACAAGTCTTTCCCTCGACTGCTGAAAATTACACGAGAATTGGTATTGTTCATCTATCTAAACAATAGTATTTTGATAGAATAAAAAGGAAGATAATTATCCTATAGTGTGTTTCATTCTCCCTAGAAATTAAATCGATAGAGGCTTAGCTAAAATAGCTTGCAAATAATTTTCTGACACTGTTATTTAACGAACTAGTTTCTGCATGAACTTTTGTAAATGAGATAACGAATGTTTATAGTAAAATATGATATATGTGATTAATTAAACCCATTTTTTGACGATATGTCATGAGCTTAAATGTCCTTAAGCCTGAAAAATGCAAACATATTTGTTTAAAAAATCTTAAAGCGATTATGTTTAATGTATTATAATAATTTCCAAGATGGTACTCACTCATTGGCCTTATAGCTGGGTGTACAAATGATAGTTGTACATAAGTAGTGATTTACTATTTTGTATGGAATATAAAATTGATTACATTTTGATATTTTTATCACAAATTATTTTACATTCATAGCTACTTTAGTCAAGACTTTATGATAAACATATTATATTACAATCGTTACCACATTATAAAAACCTGTTTGCCATTTCTACATAATGAAATAAATATTCATTTCTGAGGCAAATTTGCCTGTAAGATTGTCATATTTTTGGGAACAAGTTTTATATCCAACACACTGTTGAACAGAAAACAATAATTTTGGAATTATAGCAGTAGTCCAAATAAAACTATTGTCAGCGAGTTATTTGTTTACGTTGAATATAAAATATTAACCCATACTACAAAACACTGCCTTTAACATTAATTTTACGATTTCACTGAAAATGAGGTATTACAATTAAATACTTTATACCACAAAAGCAAACAATAAGCAATCCTAGTATGAAACTGTCTACATAAGGAAATATTTCAAAGCCAAAATATACACCCATTGATTAAATGTTCTGTTTCTCAAATAGCCGATTAAATTGCGTTTGATAAATTGTATATTTTTAGATGTTTGACACTTACTGATTTAACGCATAGATTGCGGTATCCTAGAAGATTGTTATACAACACATAACAATTGTGGTAATAATTTCAAGCATAGAATTCTCTTACAGCTTATTTTCCATTTTTATTTCATTTTTCCTGATTCGTAAATGAATAAATTCTATTCAGCTATGAAATACAACAATGCTAGCGTCCTCTTTTAACTTGAACTCCTCGCAAGGAAAAGTCGAATGGCTTACCTTTGGCTAACGGACCGAGCAAAACAGTTTGAAAGTTGTTCATCCAAATCGATTCAAATTCAAATTAATAAAACATATCTCTAACTAAAGCTTATGCCAAGATATTTGAGCCGTGTCATGACAAAACCAACATTGTGGGTTTGCGACCAGCATGGATCCATACCAGCCTGCGCATCCGCGCAGTCTGATCAGGATCCATGCTGTTCGCTATCAGTTTCTCTACTTGTAATAGGGTTTGTAAGCGAACAGCATGGATCCTGATCAGACTGCGCGGATTTTGTCGTGACTCGGCTCATTTCATCCAATTTCCAACATAATTCGGATGCACATTACTGTAACTATCATGCTGTTATAATGTGACCGGTTTAATTAAATGGATACATCTAACAACATATCTGTGAAATGTTATCCCTAGGTGTTCAATCAGATAACCAATATCACCACCAGCATGTCTTGCATAGAACATATTAATGCAAATTTGTCGTATAAATTGATATAATGGATCAAAATATTGCATATTGCATCGACCGACAAAGGAAATATGCAAAGTACGTACTTGTTCATATTTTTAAAAGGCAATTCACGCATTGATGGAGCAAAGCATGAAGTATTTGGGTTAATGACAATGAACAGAAAAAATATAACAGAATTATCGTCTCATGAAATGATTATTTTCATTAAACAATGATTTAACTTATAATTAAATAACGTCAGAGTGTCATCAAGATAGCTATGGACTATGCAGAAATATTCATAAAAGATATCTTCAATTTCAGCTACTTAGCCTCACGATTTTCCATTTTCTTTTAAGAAATTCAAAAAATTTTTTTTTTATCAAAACACAATTAGAATCTTTTAATATGTTTACAACAAAGAGTAATTGTATCCAACTTATTGGGCTGATATGGTGAGGGACGTAGATTCTTTTAGTATCGATAATAAAATTTAACACATTGCCTCACAAAAATGTTCAATCTTTTAAATCCTTGTTCATTTATACAGGAATACCTGAAGAAATACGGTTATATTCCGCCATCTGACGGACTGACGGACAATCTTTTATCAGAAGATTACGTGAAGCAGGCAATCGCAATATTACAAAGAGAAGCAGGACTGCCCGAAACAGGTAAGCATAGATATTTTCATGAACATACTCAAGCAATGCAACAATCACAAATTGACGTTTTGGGTGTTCTTTAAGGATTCCGTTTTCTCTTTTTTTTCTTCCTTTTTTATGGTATCAAGTAGATTGTTTGTATGTTCGAGTCCAAGAATCGTAAATAAATTCATTTATTTAATTTAATATATAGCAAGCGTTGCTTTTCAATACTAATCAATATAAATCATTTGTTAACAGAACAAACATAGATTTGTAAAGAATAATACTGTCAGTGAACGCAACGTGTTAGTATAATATATTAATGATTGTTGCGCATGCACTTTTGGGAAAGACCAAAATTTAAAGAGGCCATTGCTATTGTTTCATATATTTAGAGCGGGGCGGGTATTGTCGAACATGTGTCTTAATGTGAACATTAATTTCAATTATAATTTATGTTTGTTTTTCATAAGACAAACAATATTTTACGTAATATATGTCGTCATTATACTTTCGTAGAATATTTGAATATATGGTCTTTTGAAGCGAACATTAAACTGCAATTTTGAGGTCTTTTGTTATGTGTTTGTATTATACTATTTTATTCCCTTTGCATATTTTTGCACTTGATGGTATGTAATTGAGCAATGGAAATATTGAAATGATTTATTAAACTCCAACGTCAAGGCCTTTGTGTTTACAACATAATATTTATTACCTTTGCATATTGTTGCACTTGAAATTATGTTTGTTAAATAATGTAGCCGTTGAAATAATACAATGTTTTGTGTTTTCGTGTAAATTCTGTATATGTGCTTATGAAAAATATACACCTTTATCAATCACAAATAAGTCATGTTGGAAAGACCTTAATCTGTAAAATGTCAAATTTAGCGAGGGTAATTATGAGAAAAAGTAAGGGTAAAACGTGAACAGATTGAAGCCATATTTCAGACGTTTTGCGGCGTATTTCCGTTTTGCAACAAATTGGCTGGTAACTGTTAGGAATCAGTCAAACATTATACATGTATATCAAATCTACCGGTTTTCACGCGATATAAGCATTTCATTGGGAACGAGTCATATTGCAATAGTGTAAGCACGTAGACTGAGTGGTGTTTTATCGACGCAAGCACAGGTCATTTCGTCCTCAAAACATCCTCTGAAATCTATCAATAACATGATTGTCATTTGGTACGGCTCTAGGGATTGCGATACATATCAAATCAGATTTAATGTTTTTCAGTTGTTTCATAATTCAAAAGCTTTTGCTTGTACGTCGTTGAAATGAGCTTAGTGGGAAAATGTAATGCTTAATTACAAATTATCTGAGGTGATTGAACTGTTCTATATTCCTGCAGCGGATGACGTCATCTCTTCTTATCAATCAATTAATGCTGTGCTTTTTCTCTAATTTACATTAGGTACGCAATTATTATAGGTTCACGTTTCATAATTGAAACGAACTAAAACAAGATACACTTAAAGTGAAACATGTTCTCGTGTGTTTAAATTACCGTTGTTTCTATTACGGAAAATCGTGGTAATTAGTGTATGTTTATTTTTAACTATTTTATCCGCCAATTCTTTATTTAGAATATGGCTTTTATTTGAGTATTACATCGCTTTAGATTCTGGCCAATATTTATTTACATTTCTTTGAAAATTGCGTGCCCTTTGGCCAACCATACATTTCCATTTCTAACGTCATTCACGTCTTCATTAAACTTTACTTCATTTTGATTTCGGGAAAATATTGTTTCTTTTTTATGTCATAGACATTTTAATTAACTTTGTGGAAAAAAAAACAAATTTGCTATGCCACAGCATCAAAACAAATTGCTTTCAAATATATCATATTGCAGTGGATGTAACGAAGGTATTTATATATGACGCTGACATGTAATCATTAGACATGTTCTGATCAACGTAACGATAACGTCAGTTTTATAATACTTACATACTTACTGACTTCATAAGATAAGCAGCTTGAGTTTTATTGCAGGAAATGCATATCTTAGTACCAAAAACTAAATATATATTTAATGAATTTCCGGACGTTTACTCACATTATTACCTGATTAGTGAAATAATCGACCGAAATGTTTACAGCAGAATATAAAAAAAGAAAGATCAACAAGGGATGGTGTTGTTTACAGAACGTTGTGAGAATGCAAGAAATACTAAAGTATATAATACAACAAGATATACAGCTGTGTTACTTGTAATGATTATATGATTATATATATATGCAGTAGCATTTATCACTGATGAAGCAAATTTCTCGAAGTGTTTTCCGTTCTGCACATAATAATATGCTTAATTAACTTCACAGGTGAATAATATAGTTTAAGGCAGGTTTATAGGTATAATAAGATAAATAAACCTCAAAGTAATTTTCATGATGATATTCTGTACTTTAACAGTACATTTTGCAAACATTACTTCCTGCATAACAATAACGTTTTAACTTTGTTATACATGAAACAAAATTTTTTTGCAATAACACATTAGTTTGTTTGTGTGAACATTGCTTGAAGTTTGTGTAGTTTCAAACTGTTTCTGCCATAACAATAACGTTTTAACATGGGTTTGATACAAAGGGTATGTCGCTTTGCCTAAAGATAACCTGTTAAGCTTTTAATATTAATTATAGGGATAATCGATGAAGAAACTAAGAAGACCATGTTGCTCCCAAGATGTGGTGTCGGGGCCAGAATAGGGACAGCTGACAGAGCGAGAAGGAAACGTTATGCATTACACGGTATGTAAAAAAGAAGTTATAACATTACTGTATATGATAGTTACATTGTGGCATTTAAAAAGAACTGGCAGTTGTTGTTTTTATTTTTTTAAGAAAAAACCTTTTCTTGGCCTGTTATAGGGAACGGAGCTTTATCCATTCTTTTATTTAAAATCAACATATTCAGTAAGAGGTTTATAGATTTCATTGAATATCTGTAATTGAAATATTTAACTTAATGATGAGCATAATATAGCTTTAAAGTTTCCACGTATTCCTAATAAAATGGACAAAAGAGAAAATCCTGTTTTTTTTACAATATTTGTGTTTTTTATAATACCTTTGTCACAAATTATTGAACATTCAGTATTTCGTCCTAACAGCGCAAAACATCTAATATGTTTAAACCCGTTATGTAAAACATTATTAAACACACGTTGCCTTACTGAAGAAGAAGAAGAAAAAAAATCTATATTTATATCTCAGGCATAACGTGCTATTAAATAATTCAATTGCTCAGCAATTTACTTTCAAGAGAAAGACTTTAAGCAAATTCGTAGCTACAGTATAAACACATTTCTGACAAAGAATAATGGCTATTGAACAGGGTCTATATTCGATAGAAACAGATTAAATACAGTGTATCTATTCCTGTCACTGGATAAAAAACAAATCTGCTTTTAGATGTGGAGGTTGAATCGATAATAAAAGAGTACCAAAATCAATACGTATTCAATCGGCTTCACGAGAAGTTATTCAAAAACGTTATTGTATAACGGAAGGCGGTGTTGTTCCTTTTCATATTCGTATAAGGAAATAAATATTTAATGACTTTATATAATGCATGTTAATAAAATAACATATGTTTGAATTTTTATGGCATATCTTTTATATCAGTCAGTCTTTAGTTTGATTTAAATCGTCGTTTAAAAATTTAAAAACTTTTATAAAAATAAACATTTTTAAAGTGTCAATACATATTTTCTTGCTACGTTAAAGTCCTTTTATACTAGTATTATGATTGATACATACTGTACCAACACAAATCGTATCAAGGTATTGGTACATTGTATTTTATAGAAATAAAGTATTTACCTCTGCCAATTAAGTAATGTCATATTTTTGCTACCATCATTTATTAAACAACTTTACATTTATTTGTGTTCAGTTTCTATTTATATAATTAAAATGGCATTATCTATTACTTTTATTGTATGCCCACTAATTTAAGCATTTCAGATCTATTAATATTAAACAATACCGTATAGTAATCACCGCTGTAAATATAAATATATAATGTGTAGAACAAATGATGATGACTTTTTTAATATTGATACGACTCAGTGATAGTCTTAATATATAAGCATAGTTTAATTTGTATTTGTATTTACCTTTATACCAGTATTTGTATCTCACACATCTTGTTTATACAAACACATCTACGGATGAGGTAAAAAATTCAAAATCTTGCCAATTCATGTTTTATGTTGAATTCTGCTTAAACCGATGCTAGCGTGTGTGGACGGTAGCTTGCGCTTACCACTACCATCCATGAACAGGCTTAATCAAGCATTTTCAATTTCGTCGTGTTGGGCTTACATATTCTGTTTTTCTCCGCAGTTAAGTATATATGTTTTGATAGGTCGACAGGAGAGCCTAAGTAAATCAAAATTTATTCAAAATTGTTGTTTATTTATAATTAATCTAGACAATTGCTCATAATGAATATCAACAGAATTGTAATTAATTAACATTTTAATATCTGATGCAGTGAATAGAAACTTAATCATTGTTATCAAATGTCTGCTCAGTTGTTGGCAAATAATAATTATACGTCGTAATTTACATTATTTAGCAACCATTAGCTGTGAGCCTTGTCGTTATGGAAACGCCTGTTATGTCCCAAATGAATATAGTTTGAATTATAATCATTTTTACTTTTCTGATAACAGGCTATTTAAGCATATTAATCAATCAATCACTTGCGATTTGGTTACTAGATCCTACATAGGGGTGTACATCCTTCCGAATTCGCCTCTAATATTCCTATTCACAAAATATAAAATGATACATTGAATCTAATCTCAAACTAATTAAATGTCAGAGAAGGCGTGTTAAACATGTCGTCTTATTCTTTCCGAAGATGGTTAAAGATATAATATGCTCACATTTGATATTAGCAAATATTGATAATTGATTCACAGCCAGTTTATAAGTGTAAAACAAATAATGTTTTGACTTAACACAAAGTAGATATTTTGTTTTGAACTCTACACACTATAGGTGGTCACAATATGAATATATAGTCATTAAAACTAGCATTTTTTACAGAAAAGACCAACTTTCCTTGACCTGTAATAGGAAACGCAGCTTCCCCATTCATTCTTTTTATTCAAATTAGTCATATTCAGTTAGAATTTTATAGATATCAATATATTTCTGTGATTAAAATGTTTTACTCAAGGATAAGCATATTATATCTTTGAAAATTAATCAATAGAAATGCGAATGTCAACAGCATATTAAGAAACTCTAAAGGTGTGTTGCTTGTACATCTGTTTATATCTTTTTTTAGGAAGTAGCTGGCAAAATCGTGACAGAATATTTTATAGAATTAGTGAATATTCCAGAAAGATTTCAAAGGACGAGACTCAAAGAGAACTTCAGCGAGCATTTGATGTAAGTGTTAAGACAAACATCTAATTATTTTGCTTTTGTAACAGTTTGAGGTTTCTAAACTAATTCTAAGTAATTCTAAAATATAAACATTTTAAGACTAGTAAATACAACAAAAAATCTAGTGTTTGTTTAAAACAATTTATTAATTTGATAGTGTAATGTTCTAAATAGAACCAGACGTTTAAAGGGATTGTTTGATAACACTGACCCGAAGGATAGTTTCTAGCTTTTAATGTTTACTGTACAAGTGTATTATAAGAACTAACTACACGTATCAGAGAATCAGAGCATGCATTATACATAGGAGGGGGAGGGGGGGGGGCTTATCATAACAGACAGCAGCATACAACAGATAGTTTGATCTAATATTTACGTCTTTTAGAATGCCCTTTTTGATAACATATACTGTAAAAAATTAAAGATTATATATTTTAGCAATTAACATTTATAAATTTAAAGTCCTGCTAAACCCGGTGCGGGGTGTGCATCGGCGTGGACGAGTATTCATTGAATAAAATACAAAATATTGCTTCACGACATCTCTATTAAGATGTTGAAACATTACAATTTCATTAAACATACTTTAAATTTCATTTAAATTGAAACAGTACATAATCATTGCTATAATTCATACTAAGAACAATCGTCTAGACATGTTTAAAAAGAATAATTTATTGGTAAAGCCTTCTTTGAAATATGAAATACACCTTATAGTTCTAATTTCATTAACTTTGTTATATGGAGAAATTATTCGATTCTAGTTATGGTCTGAAATAATTCCTTTACGCTTTGAAAGACGGGAGTATGGCCGAGTTGACATAGAAATACGGTTTGTTACGGGGAATCACGGAGACAATACCCCGTTTGACGGGAGTGGACAGACACTTGCACATGCGTACTTCCCACAATATGGCGGCGATGCACATTTTGATGAAGATGAAAGGTGGACTGTAAATGTTGCTGAAGGTGAGATATTTTCCTTTACTTTAGATATATAGGAACAATAAGTACAGGCACAACACCATAGATATATATTTATCACTTTTTCCAGAATTTGATGAGGTACATTGAATTCACAAGAAAGTACCATATAAAATATGATAACAGGATCAACAAGGAAAGGCGGCGTTCAATGAACGCAAACCCAATACGACCCAGCAACATAAAACTTGTGGCCATTACCAAACAGTTCCCCGCATTCAGTCAATCAACCTAGGTTATCTGTCCTGATCCATACAGCACGTGATTAAATGGGAAACATTTCTATCAGACGAATCATTTCCATACAGAGTGAAGCTAGATACAGGGTATCTTACAACCAGTATGATTTGAGTCAACGACTTCCGGAGAACAAGTCCTAACTTGTACCTCTTTACCACTATTCCAGTCTATCTGCCTTTTCATGTTTGCATGTTTCCTATGGCAATTTACTGAGGCCACCATATTTCACAATTTAAAAACAAGTTTCTCATTTTGAACTCACAATATTTTCTTTCTGAATATGAATTTATACCTGACTGGCTAAATCGTTAGATTAATAAATGCATAAAATATTCAATCAATTTATTTTCGTATTTCTGTCACTTCCAGTATGAGTTGGCGTATAAATTAGTATCATATTCCCTACTAGAATAAATGCCATATGAAATAACAACAAAGTTAATAAAATATATCCCATTAAATATCAGTTTATTTTGATTGTTCTATAAATGATGAACAGTATTTCTACAGGGAAAGTCGATATCGATTTACGAAAATGTGTTTGTGAACAACGAAATAAAAATGGTTGGAATTGTTTGCTTCAATGAATGTCAATCATAGGAACTTTACGTGTTACAAAGCAAGTATCTTCTGCAACAAACAAAAAAAACAGGAATTCAAAACAACAAGTGCGTGTTCAATAGCTTCATGGAACGTCTAAAAAAATAAGTATTTACATCTAAAATTGAATGAAAATATTTGCTACATTTAAGCAATTTTTAAAACATAAACATTACTTTTTCATTTTTTTTTCAAATTACTAAATTTTCTACAATATCAACCACTGATACCTCGATTCGGCCTGTTTCTGAATTAAACGACTTATATTGAAGTTTAAGGAACTTCAATGACAAACTTTAAAATTGAGCCGCCAGCAGTATAGAACCTGAGCAAACTGCGTGGAATTGCAGGCTAGACTAGACAAAGGCTATCCACTTTCTGTTCCAGAAGGTAAATGGTAAAGCCTTGATTACTTTTGCAAATACATCTATGTCCTTCATGTTTTACTTGCTTTCCTTTTAATCATTGACAATCTAAAATATTAGTTGAGACTTCAATTGTGCAGTAATGAAACATACATATATTCTCTATTGAAAAGCTTTTTAAATGATGAGGAAAACCTTACAACTTTTCATGGTTGGATAACCGATAAGTCAATATGAGTATTAGTAAATAATAAATCATATGAAGTCCACTCGCTTTGTTTGTGCTTTCGTTTTTGGTTCGGTGCAATCTGGATACCTTTCTTTTGCGAATTGGTTGTGTCTTGGACTGCCTTTTGATCTTATTACTTTTTGTTTTAAGAAGCCGTTTTTATACATGAAGTTCTATTTGTGCCTTTGTCATAGATACATTCTAACACCATTATCCTTTTACCGTGATTTACTTTATTTACTAATTAAATTGTTCTTTCTATATCGGTAAACATCATATGAAATTAGTTTAAAATAGATAAAATTGAAATACAGCAAAAGGAAATAGTTGCAGGCTCGGTTTGATTGAGCATGTATTCAGATGATAGTGGTAAGTGCAAGTTACCGTCGCATCTCTCTAGCTCTTCTCAATGCAGAACATTTGAAAATGGTGTTTCATTTAAATTTTAAATTTCTAAAGATATGGGGATTTACACAGAATTGCAATATATTCCTTGTTATAACTTGTGTCATTATTTCGCAGTGCCACCGAGTTGATGTAAGTAAGATTTTCAAATTTTATGTTTCAATGCTTTTGGACTCAGTCTATATGAATATTGTACGTCATCTTTTTTATTTTTGATACAATAATACTACATGTTGTTCTGTTCTTTTTCTTAGGTGTTAACCTGTATCAGGTTGCAGCGCACGAGTTTGGACATTCACTTGGCCTTGCCCATTCGGATGTGAAGTCTGCATTGATGGCACCATTCTATAGAGGATACGACCAAAATTTTAGACTTGACAGAGACGATATATTAGCTGCACAAGAACTTTATGGTAAACATTGGCAAAAATGTTATTTAGATTTGATACAATAGATATTGAGAGAGAGAGAAAAAAAGTTTTGTAATTTTTTGACTGAAATCGTACTTCCTCGGTTCTTTTTTGTCAAAGAAAAAAACTTAGCAAGTTATATGATTGTAAAGTATAACATACACAAAACTCATGTTGGACTCTATTATTACGTATATTAAATAAATTGTGTAAATGTGTCATCCGTTTCTTAACCTTCATTTTGTTTACTTCAGGGACCAAAACAAAGCCCGAATTTACGACGAAATTATTTAAATATTGGACCACAGAAAAGCCAGTAAAATTTCATAAACCATTTGTACATATACCTAGCATTTGTAGAAATGCTACAATTGATGCAATAACGAGAACAGACAGTGGTAAAACATTCATATTTCAAGGTACGTTAACAGTCGAAGACACAATGGAACATTCAACAGCAATTCTTTTTCTCCTTTTTTTGCAAGACTTTACCCCTATGTGTTACCACAAACAAAACAATGTTAAAAAGTGTGAAGAAAAATATTATGCTTAATGTTGAGAATAACAAACCGTGACATTTTCTTCCTATGTCGTGCAAAATTTGCTTGCAAAAATATGAAAGTTTATTTAGCGGTACATTTTTTAAAAGCAAAATATAAATTGTTTGTTGAGTAAATAGAAAAAAAAGTTGAATTCAATTTCCAAATTTACAGTTTTGAAATAGCGTTTGCACTTATGAAGAAAATTACAAAATGAAGTTTTTGTTATAACTTTCTTTCAGAATTATTTCACAACACAATAGGGGCAGCAATTTTGAGAGAAAACTTTTTATATTTTATAACTGACAAAATATGAAAAAGCAATATGAATAGCTGAACAGGGTTGTTAAGAACCAGTATCTTAAAGAGTTTTATTAGCTTAATTGACGATGACAGAATGGTGAGAGATGTTTAACTTATCTAAAGCATAAATATATAACATTATGTATTCAGGCTACTAGTATGTAATAAAACATCTACAGATAAATTCTTCTATTTTCAGGGGAATATTATTACCAACTTAATGAGCAGGGAATAGATACAGGATATCCAAAAATGATTCAATCAGACTGGGGAAACATAGAGGGGCCTATTGATGCGGCGCTTACCTGGCCTAATGGATGGACATTCATTTTCAAAGTAATGTATTATTGCTGATTTAGATTTTATATTATCTTTATAATATTTGTTGTTTGCATCTTTTCCAAAAAATATACTATAGCCATTATTAAGAAAACTGTAAATTTCTACACATAGCAGTCATTATTCTTTATCATCCAGTCATAATGAAAGGAAACTTTTAAAGTGAAACAACTCAGGTTTTATGACATAACTGAAAATAACTTTTCGGGATTTTGTACCATTTGATGAAGGTCTATACTAATATCTCGAGTGCATAATTTCAAATCTTCTGTTTATATTGAAAATATCTTTTCGGGATTTTGTACCATTTGATGTTGGTCCATACCAATAACACAGTGCAGAATTTCCAATCAGTCGTTCATATTGAGTTTTAAAAATATTCATTTTATTTTTTTACTATGCAAAAGAATCTGAAGATTTTAACGCAGTTTTCCTCAATCGTGCTGAGATCGCATAAGATATCTATTTGTATATCAATTTCGAGTGTAATTTTCTATTTTTGCTACATGTATGTTTTATTTCGTTATGAGTGACACAAAGAGTTGCACCATAGTGCATCTCAGTTAATCTCCTTTAAGTCCCTTTTCTGTAACGATGTAATCTTCTAAGACCAACAAATAGCTATTCAATTCACGCCTCAACCCATTCCATATTGATTCTTAGTTTACAGAAATGCTATAAATGCCATACTGAAATGTTAAATCAAACCAATCCGATTACAGTAAACACTTAATACGATAGAATCAATAATACGATTTTTCTTTCTCACCTTTTATGAGGCAACTTTCTCATTTCCCATCTGACCGGGAATAAGTGAAATATTCATGAGTGAGTCGATGTAATGCATCAATAGTATTCTCCTGTCCCGCGTGGGACTTTGAGTTATATTTCGAAAGCGAAAAAGGGGTTTTGGCTTAGACTTGAAAAATAAAATGTAGTGTAATATGCTATGCAATTAGTGTATAATTAAGATTTAAATATTTAGATCTACTGATCTACTCATAATAAAAATGAATGATCCGAACCAATTTGTATTTCAATTTGCATAGTATATAGTATATCAATTGTCTGTAAACAACAAGTATTATTTACCTCCTTATCTTAGTAAAATATATTGTACTCATTTACTCAATAAAGTTAAGAAACCAATAATAACTTCAAAGTAATAATTTATTATAAATAGATATATTAGTGAAGAATACCACCACGATATAACTATAATAGTATAAAAAGTTCATGACACCCGTAAAGTATTACAGTAGACATAGCATCACCTTTTGATGTTAATACAAAGCTATTAACAGTCAAATTTAATCGCAAGTTTACGAATGTATTAACGCTGAGGTGATCCGATATCAGTAACATAGAAAAGGTCTTGCTCTTAAATGTTCTCACCCTGAAGGAAATATCTTCACAGGAAATCACATTTACTTGCAATAACATTTGTTTATCTTCGTATTTTATACTATTTTATTGCAACAAATATCACTAAAACTAATTACATTAACAATCGATAGGTAGGAATGAACTGTTTATTATTTCAATAAAGTGTATAAGCCTGAGATTCGACTGACTAGAACAATCAGTAGGTTGGTGGAAAATTGTCTGGTTTTGATCAGGTAGAAAAGGGATACCGGTGAAGAGGGTTCAACAGAATTATCAGATACTGAACGCGTATTACATCGTGTGCATAGTTTCAGAGTACCAAATACTTTTTTAAACTCATCAACCATATAATTATTAATACCCAGATGTTTAATATGCTGTATGAATAAAAGCAACTTTAAAAATCTTGAAACAAAGTGATCCCTCGGAAGCATTAATTACAACAAAATTACATGAAAATTGCAGGCTTGGTTTGACACGTTTTTGACAATAGCCTTCATAAAATATATCCTCAAAGACAAGGATTTATATTTTAATACTTGTTTTTTAACATTTAACCAAGCTTGTAGCTCCTTTGATTAATGCCGCTTTCCGTGATTTAACCATAAATAACTTTATGAAGAAACATGGTTGTGGCAGGACTCGAAGCTACTATTTCATAATTAAGATATAGCCATCTAACCCACAAGGTGCTATCGAGCTAACCGATGGAACGACCAGTGCGTCTACTCAGGTAACAGCTCGTCCCAGAAATAATGCACAGAGTACCTTCTTCGCCAGTAAAACTTAAATGTCGCCATTTGACCATTACAGTGTCGATATGTCTGAAAACCGAATATCAAAATAACCACAAGGTCCCTGTACAAATTTAAGTTAAAAACTTAAAAATCATATATCATGCATGCACAAACATTTTAGATCTACATGTATAATAAGGACCGTGAATTGTTGTCGACATTAATCATAGATTTAACATTACAGGGAAGTCAGTACTGGAAATTTCACGACCAACAACTTATTTATGGGCCTAAAAATATATCAGAAGGATTTGATGGTATTCCTGGAGACATTGATACCGCCTTTGTTTGGAGCGGTAACGGAAAGACGTACTTTGTCAAAGGTAACAGGAAAGGACGTTTAATTGTGATATTTTGTTTCTGAAAAATTTGCAACTAAAACGTTTGCAGATGAGTGTTTTTCATGTCGAACTGACAAAAACTGCATCACAATATCACATATGATTTCCAACGAACAAATCGAAATCCCATTTAAAGTCCGAAGGGACTGTCACGATAGTAAAACCTTTAGCTATCCAAACGTATTCAAGAGTTTTACGTCTTCTTTTTTATTAACTCTATATATTTGTGCTTTAAATCCTAAAAGGTGTCAGAATCGAGGTCGATGCAACTTTCTTTCATGAGAGCTCACAGATTGTAGTTTGAAATATTTTTTCTAGGCATAAATGAGTACCTCAGCGGCACGGCTTGCTAAGTTTGTTTTATTTTAAATGTTAAATTTTCCATTGTCCGCTCCCAAGCGAAGTGCGTACAGTCATGCTACTCCCACGGGTTCTAGAATTTCATGCACACTGAAGCTTACTTTAAATTTTAAAAGTGCTTTGTTGATTGCGATTAAACTTTAATTCATAAGGTAAAATGAAGAAAACGCAAGCGTACATTTTGAATTTTTAGATTGATATATTCGAGCTTCGGGTATTTTCTACAACAGTATTATCTTACACCACTTTCACTTGTGAAACTCCCCATGTTAATAATATAATGTCTACCTAGTGTCCGGAAAGAACTCCATACTTTTACTGACACAATACAAATATCCATTGATCAAAGGCTTTTAATTCATTGCAAGCCTTTGTTATACGTTATAAATATTACAAAACACGTATTAATATATCAAAATATTTCATTACCATATCTTTTGCCTTCTCTAATAATCGAATGCTTATATTTCAATGCATTATTTATATAAAGTTTGCGTGACAGAAAAGTACATTTAAGCAATAGAAATAAAGCGATGATGCATACATTTATGCAATATCTGATTGAATAATGGCTGGAAATTATTTGCAAATAAATCAAACGTCAGGCTGTAACAAGCGTATTTGTTCTGACAGCATTCTCTTAGGAGTTTTATGCTGCTTTTATTTTTTCTACAACTGCTATTTTCAATTATGGAAATGGCATTTTTAGAGTATTGATGCCGTTTAAATTTAATCTATCAACCTTACTTACAACGTATCCTTCGTTTCAGGAAACAAATATTGGCGTTACCATGGCAACAGAATTGATTATGGTTACCCTAGAGATTTGAAAATTTGGAGAGGTCTACCGGAGCGAATAAATGCTGCATTCCAATGGAAGAACAGGAAAACATATTTCTTCTCCGGGGATCAGTACTACCGATATAACGATCTAATATTCCATGTACGTGTCCATATAAAAATATATTTGTACTCTATGCCAACCCTTTGTTTATACCCTTTGTATACCCTTTTGTATGTAAATAGCATTATTACTTTGAGATACGTCAAATTTGATCGGTTTTAACAAAGGACGATATTAGTGTAATGCTCAAATGCATTTAAGTTATCTTCAAATTTTCCTGCTGGAAATAAATTTAAAAAACTCATGGGTTATGACCTTATCTTTTTTATGACCGGGTTATTGCGTTGAGTATTCAGCGGTTCATTTTGAGAAATGTTCATTGCATTTTAATATGGTACTAATAAGTTTTCATAAATATGCAATAGATAACATACTTTTTACAAGTATGACAAAGAACTATCTTCTGTACTGATTCGTAATTCATTTTTCTGTCATTGTAGATACTGTCAAAAGCTATTATTTGAAATTTCAAAGTTATAAGTACATTAAAGAAATGTGCGATTGCCCGAATCTCAATGTAATCATTTATAATCAAATATATTTAAGCATTAGATTCAATAAAGCAGAATAATGGATGCAATACAAAAATAAATAGGATTTATCAAATACAATTAGGAAAAGGAAAGCCAAACAAAGATCATTGTACTAGATTGCCTTATATGGGTTAAATAAATCGAAACAAAAATAAAATTATGAAATATATCTTTAAATTGAAAAAGAAATGTACTTCTGGAAAGATTGAATTATAAGGTAGAATATGACAGATGTTAGTCGTTTAACACCTACTTCAGCGTTATTGCTATAAGTGTAAACGCATATTTAGGCAAATTTTGATAAGTTATTCGTGCCATCTGAAAATTGTTAGTGTCTACATTTGACAACATTTGTACCTATCAGAACAATTTTAAAGTTTCATACAAAATAACACAGATCATTAAAGATGTTACTGTCAAACTATTAATTAGTATAAAGAACATTATCGCAAAGCATTTGTTTATTAACATTCTTTATTTTAATTTAAGTGACATTATGCTCTTTATTTTGTTGTTAAGTCGAGGTAAATTATGTATATTTGTCAAAAGATTGACATTACAATGATCATTGACCAAATATAAATAAATTAATTGATAAAAAATATGTATAATATATATCATATAAAAATAAATAAAATTAATAAAGATAAAATGGTAAGGAAAACATTTTTGACAACTACATAAAAAATATCAAAAAGACTGCCTTGATTTTTATCAATTTAGCGATGAAGGAAATGTTAAGAATTTCCCATGGCTTATTCATTATATTTGCGAAGTAGAATACAAAATTAAAAACAATTATGGTCAAGTGTATTTGACATCAATTATGTTATTCCAGGATTACTAGAGGGAGAAACATGTTTAACGTTGTTTAAGGATCTTACTTATATTTACTTCCGGTTCCGGTCCTCTTGGTATTCTCTGCGTTTTTTAATTTGTTGGTAGGAACTTAATTGGGTATCTTTACTTTTGCCTGTACATTCGCTGCATAAAGCTTAGATGGACATGTTGTTACTTTAAAGTATAAGGCTAGCTTTGTAAATGCATATACTGTGATTCCAAAGAAAAATATATTTTTTTTTCATTTTAAAATGCTATTTCAATGTATATTTTTGTCATAGATTGACACAGGCGGCTATCCTAGAGATATTGCACCTTGGTGGCTTGGCTGCCCCGACAAGAGCCAGATAAATGCCCTCGACAAACAACACGCTATGCAAAGTATGTAACAAATACAAATATAATAACAAATATAAATAAGTCAAATAACAGGTCCTAAAATAGATACAGATAATCAAACATTATCTATATCCTAAATTGCAGTGAAATTATTTATAACATTTTACTATGGACTTGAAAATATAATTAAAGTAAATAAATCGACAAATTATAGATTCAAGTGGCATTATACAAATTAATTATATTGCCTTTTTGGCATATATATATTCAATATTTATATTTGGTTTGGCCAAATAAAGATTTAACCAAATTAAGTTTACGTTCATTAACAAATTATCATTTCATTTCAACGAAAAAACTCAATTGGAATTAAAGTGTGTTTTAAAAATGAAGAAAACGCCTCCTTCCTTCGAAACATATTCAGTTTCATGCTTTGACAAATTTCAAGCGTAATTTGTTTAACTAGGGCTGTGGGGGTTGTTTAGATTTTTTAAATATCAATTGATTATTCCAACATTTGATTTAAGTAGTTATAAAATGATTTATACAGTTAGCTTTGTTCATTTCTAAGATAATCCAATCTCAAAGCAATTGATACAAATTTCGTTTTTGAAACCCCTTTAATATTGATCAAACAGTTTATTAATTTTATGTAAACAAATCTAATAACTTTCCTTTAACAGCTTTTATGCTCTTTTTTATAGATAAATTTGGAGTTAAATATGACACATTTTCTTCTGACAATTCACGCCATAACGATGAACAGTGGATAACGGTGGATGAACCTCATTATAACAGTGGATTGCACGCAGACAATGACAATACTGTTCATAGTGGAACTGTGATAGGATCTAGTCGTGTAACCAATCTCCAAGCATTGTGTATATCATTTATCATAACAAACTCTTTCTTTTTGTATTTTCCAGTTTTTACTTTACATTAACATCAATTTTAAAATAAATAACAATAAATATGTGTTTTGTTATTTTAATACATGCATACGTAGTTATATCTCAAACAATAAAGTTTACAAAAAGACTGTTCAGATAGTGCTTGCCTATTGAAGTTGCTATGAATTGAACTTGAATTGTCTTTTCCTGTGATTACCATTTCTTTGTCATTCTTTTATATAATGTTTTGTATATATGTATGATATAATTGTACAAGTTTATTGAATAAAATATTTAACGATGAGCCGATTATATAGTAAAGGGCGAAATGAGAAAATACTAAAATAGTCTGAAATTGGTTTGACAGTGTCTTTTTTCCCCACTTTCCTGCTGCGTGACAAAATGAAAACAAGTGAAGGTAAATATAATTCAACCACCACTACATTTGAAAGAACAATGTATGTCATGAATGAGTATTACAGGCTATCAAAAGTACAATATAGTATCTTTTAATAAAATTAATCCAGTGTTGATCTTATTTTCCTGTCGATTGCATACTGCTTATACTGCCAATGCACGCAATATATCAATACCCAAGGTTCGTGATATGTTAACAGTAAGATGTGATTAAATGTAATATGTTTCTATGAAATAATAAAATAGTTTAACTCAGTGTTAAAACGCAAAAGGTTAAATGGTATCGAAAACGTAACAATCGGCTCCAGAAAATGTTGATTTTTACATAAATTTATAAACAGAAAGAATAAATCGCCGATCCAAAAATTGGCGATGCATACGAGCCACCCCGGGCTATTTTTCTGTGGTTAACATTTTGGCTTTATATTGCTGTAAAGAAAACCGTCCAAACTAATTCGATGGCTAATACGCAACGAAATCAAACAAATTGTGTCGAAATGAATGGCTCCAGAAAAATGTCAAGAGAGTCCCGCATTTTGTATCGGCGAACTCTTCCTTCTATATATAAAGTGATAGCATTTTCGTCAAAGGCATTTTTCAGAAAGCCAACCGAAACTATTTTTATTTTAAATTGCTTAATACGCATTGTTTAAAAGTGGAGGTTCCTCTCAACGGCAATATCAGGTCCAAAGCTTTTAACATCAGGAAAATGACAAGAACAGACCCTGATAGCATGGTCACATTTTGGATTGACGATTAATTTGTTCTTAAAAAGTCTAAGAATGTTCGTTAAAATCACCATTTTCCAGAGCAAGACGTCACGACACCGCCTTTCTGATTCAGCTGCGGATTACCAAATTCCTTAGATTGGAGGTTTTTTGTTACAGCAATATAAGGCACAAAGCTCAAATCCAAGAAAACTGGCCAGGAGAAGACCGCATCACATGGTCACTGTATATAATGACTAAGAATTTTTGCAACAATCATAATTTTCTGGAGCCAACCGTTGCAACATCATTTGTCTGAATCCGTTGCGTATTAGCCATGTTTGACGCAAATTTTATAAATTTCTAAACCAATTTTTGTAATATGTAACATACGTTAGATAATTCATAATAATTAGAATGCCTCTTTATTGTAATTACATGATTTCTAGGAATAAAAGTTAATGTTTTGATTATAGCATTTTCCATACATTATTTCTAACATTATATGATTATGAGAATAATTACTTAAAGGTTTCCGATAGAATGCAAGATACACCTCGCTTGAATGTTACCCAGATGAGCTATGCAGCTGTAATACTTGTTATGATAATACAATTTAAAAAATGCACTTCCATTTATCATTGGAGAAGCAAAATTTATTGATGTGTATTTGTTCTGCATAAGCCTATTACTGGTTAAATATAAATGATAAAGAAGCGCTGTATGTTGAGAAGGCTAGCTATCTGAAGTGGTGTTCAAACTATAATATATTCGACAATTACGTTATATGAATACGTGCTTTCATATGCAAATTGGTTGTTTGAAATACATAAAAATACCAGTACATAAAATCGCTTCTGATAATGGAGGCTTTGAGATTAACATTACGGCGAGCACAGATAACGATACTCTCTACAGAACGTCCAAAACGACAAAATGCATCGCTTTCTATGGCGGATATCGAAAAAATGGTTGATTTTTCGCATGTGTAAGAAAGATTACACATATATATTGAAAACTATTTCGTCGCCTACGATTTATGATCGACACAAATCAAATTATCTGCATGGCCAAACACAGTATGGAAAATACAACCTCGTTGATTTAACCATTCTAATTTTAATTATTTTCTTTATTAAATATGACCAATCGCGACAGTATTTATATTAATATGCTACAAAACTCTTTACTCCTATACCTTATTGTTTGATATGTTATTCCATTGCTGTTGATAATATTTCATCTCATAACGCAGTCTTTGTTTATTAAACTTGTTTATGTTTCGAAATTTAAATATAAAATTGATATTATGTTTAAAGAAAAATGAAGCAGAAATAATCATAAAAAACAAGTTTTTATAAATTGTTGTAATCAATCATAATATTAAACAATTTTGTTTTAATCAGTGTATTTTTACACTCACACTTACACGCTAAAACGATTGCCTTTTGAGTTTTATACAGAAATGTTTGTTATTATAAAAATGATAGATATATCACTAAGACATCTTTACAGGTTGTTGTTTTGTTATTCCAAATCATTAACATTATTTAATTTTTTTATGATACAATTCTTTATGACATCAAACAATCTAACTTTTCTCAAGCGACAGATGATGTGCGTTTGAAAAACCCTGTGCATGTAAAGTACAAATAGTTCATACATATATCATACTACGATACGATGAACAAGAAATTCAATAATTTCAAGAAAGTACACTTGTATGTAATTCATTACCTTTGTGTAAGAATATACGACTTTGGTGAACCTCTTTCAACGAAGGCATCACGCATGAAGAAAATATAAATTAAAATATGTTATACAATGCTACATGTCTCATAACTATGTGATATTTTCTACTTATCGCATGTTGCAGCGATTTGTCTTTTATGTTCCTCAATCGTTTATGTACGCCAGTAACATGCCTTATTGGTAATAACGCATAGTGCGATATCTCAGATATAGCATGCTTCTTTAGAAAAAAGTGTGCGTTATTTCAAATAAAGCACAGTTATCCAAGTACACTTGGTTTATGTATAAGCGTGACCATAAACAAATACACAAGGGTCACCGGACGGTACTAAAATTTAGGCTGGGAAAACAACGAACAATAATCGTTTTCTTTGAAATTGATTTAAAATCCATCTTTTGGAATGCCATTTAAACAATGCTGATCAAACGGCGGTTAGCGTAATACTTGCGCGTCACAATTATTTACAGTGGTCATCCAACCGATCAGGGACGCCCTTTTAACTTCTGATTGGCTCTTACGTTATGGGGTTTACAATAAGAAAAACCAAATATCGGTTATTTACATGTACATGTACCATAAAAAGTAACCGAGGTTCCGTATGGGGGATTTAAACTATTAAGGGAAGCATTATATCCAATAAATAATACTGTTGGAAAAACAATTCTGTGTGGTTTCAAACTAAGAATTTCAGTACATTTATCTTAGAAAAGTACATCATATCATTGTTATACCTTCTACAAATAGAGCCCGAGAGCTATTAAAAACGCGTCGTGACGTTCGTTACTAGAAACAGAAGATTTGGAAATTAATCTACTGATTTAAATATAGAGAGCTGGCCGGTAGATTAAGGGTATCGAGGGGCTTCCTTACTATTTCTATGCTTATTTGTAATCGTCGGTTATTTCATTTTCCATCTCAATTCTTTTGTTTGGCAATTATATGAAACGAATTATCTAAAAGTATCATATTTAACCTTTAAAAAGCTGAAGGTAACTTTAATTCATTTAGACAATACACAGAAGCAAGGGACAATCAATATGTCCGTTGCAAACCAATAATAAAAATACGATAACGACAGCGTTTGAAAAAACAGTAATATTAAGTATTTATACAAAAATAAAATTAGGAAAATACTTTTAGAAACTGCATCTTGCACAAGGCAAACATTTCATTTGCATGTCGATAAACTTTACAGTCGATTGCTCACGGCGTAGTCTCATATCCTGTACAAAGATAAAACAATTATAGAGTTTCAAACTGCATGCGTCAATATGATCAAACATATTCCAAGAAAATCAAACTTGAGACAAATGCAATAAGATTTTTAAAAAGTAAAAGGATTCAAGGAATAATACTAGTATACATGTTAATGTGTGTGACATTTGCCTGATTTTGCGGTATTTATCACCATATTTCTACTGCATGACTAACGCAGTAATGGCCATTTTGCATATTTTGACCTCTTTTTGTTAATATACATTTATGTAGATTGGAAGTGCCGTTTGCAATGAGTAAATTTCATTCTTTGTTCACTTGACAATATGTTTCTTTTAAATACATTTTCGAAATTTTATTTAAAATATGATTGAGTCTTGATGCATGCTGCTTTAATAGTCTTGTTCCTTTAATGTCGATATACTTGGATAATATCCTATTATATTATAATATATTATATAATTACATAAATTATTATGGATGTGATATTTGAGATTATATGAATTACTTTTAATTTCTTTATTGCTTTACTGTAATTTAATATATTTGTTTGTGATTGAAAAAAGTCATTTTTATTTTAATATCTTATATCTGGGAAGTGTTTCTCTTGATGTATATTATAAACATGTAGCATTGTGAAAATGCTGTAATTAGTTATTAATGAAAAAGAAATCAATCGAATTCTAACGATTCAAACGTTTTACGTCAACGATTCTAACGCTTTACGACTTTGTCCAGATATATATTCAATCATAAACAATGTTTTCAATCAGCAAAATGAAGTTTGTCACAGGATAAAGGATTTAAAAGAGAGACATGATAAAATAGGATCGTGTTATCAGGAGCTTTGCGTTCAGTAATAGTATTATAAAAATACATCCGATTTAATTACCTGTCAATTAATTTGTCATGACCCATGTGCACCACTGAAAATACGTCAGATGAAAAGAAACATAGGAAAATTGAAATGAACTTTAAGCACTGATGATAATTACAACTTCTCTTGTTTGAATTCTGCATCTGTTTAGATTAAGCAAAAATTTGTCTTAATAAATTTAGCGTTTTTCATAATTGCTTGTTGCCAATGTTGAAATCTTCTCCTTCGAGGTATCACTTTAAAAATAGAATAAATGACTGACAAAGTGTAATTAAATTGTAAAAAATGTTTTGTTGGTGTCAAACCTTAGGTATGTGCAATATGAGTAGTATTTC